AACCGATGTACTACCTGACCGATGAAGAGCAAGTTTGATTTCCACCAGTGTAAAGGGGCGATTATAATCGTAGAGATGATTGGCCCGAAAGGAAAGAGGTGATCACTCTGCCCGATAATTGATGGCCAAGAAGGCAGGGGAAGAAACAGAAGTGCTAGAAGCACGAGAAAAGCTGTGGCCAAGAGCATAAGAAATGCTCTGGACATCAGCAACTTCCTGTCCATTGGAGAGTAAGATGGAAAGGGGATGGGAAGCATACCTCCCACTGACTTTCCGAATCTTGTCCCATACAGTTTTGGAACTGGTGGTAGAAGAGATGCTAGAAGTGAACTTAATCCAAGACTCCTTTTGGCTTTGACATAGAACCTGGCAGGCGTGGGCACGGGCCCGCTGATAAACAATGTGGTTAGAAAGAGAGGGATACCATCAGAAGGGATCCCAGGCCCGTTTTTGAGCCTTCTGTGCCTCCTGGCAGGCAAGACTCCACCATGAACGAGGATACCGTGGAAAACGAGTCGAGGTCTTAGGAATAAAATGAGCAGCCACCTGGAAAATACAGTCAGTCACTGCAACCATCCAGTCGTCTATTGATGGCAGACAGACAAAGGTAGGAGCAAGTTCGGAGAGAGAGGTGAAAGATGGCCAGTCAGCCTGGTCCAGCTTCCACCGTGGCACTCGGGTCGGGTGGCATTGACCATGGCCAACCTCCTTCATAATGATAGGAAAATGATCACTGCCTCGTGGGTCACTGTCGACCATCCAAGAAAAGTGAGTGAAAGTGAAGGGGAGCAAATCGAGAGATCAATGGCAGTAAAAGATTGACTAGGTGCATGAAAAGAAATATATGTTCCAGTATTGAAGAGAGAAAGGTTGTGATCCGAGTGCATATGCTCTATGGAACGACCACTCCCATCAATATCAGCACCACCCCAAAGAGGATTGTGTCCATTAAAGTCTCCCAGAAGTAAAAAAGGGACATGGCAACTGGTCAACGACAGCATCAAGGTTCGATTGATCATAAGTCTCCCCAGGAGACAGGTAGAGAGAACAAACAGTGATGTCACAACCCAGGGAAACACGGATGGCTACGAGTTCCAAGGGTGTATCGAGGGACACAGATAAGGAGGGCACATGCTGGTCGACCAG